CGCCGCCATAGCCCTCTCCTCCACCCTCCTCTCCTCCTCCCTCCCCTCCCCTCCTCCCGCCTCCGCCGACATCGCCGGCCTCACCCCCTGCAAAGAATCCAAACAGTTCGCCAAACGCGAAAAACAATCCATAAAAAAACTTGAATCCTCCCTTAAAAAGTACGCGCCTGACTCCGCTCCTGCACTCGCCATCAAAGCCACCATTGAAAAAACCAAGCGCCGATTTGACAACTATGGCAAGTTCGGCCTCCTCTGCGGCTCCGATGGTCTTCCTCATCTCATCGTCAGCGGTGATCAGAGGCATTGGGGGGAGTTCATAACGCCGGGATTGCTGTTCCTGTATATCGCAGGGTGGATTGGATGGGTTGGGAGGAGCTATTTGATTGCCATCCGAGATGACAAGAAGCCCGCGATGAAGGAGATTATTATTGATGTTCCGCTCGCTGCTGGTCTGCTGTTTCGAGGCTTCATTTGGCCTGTTGCGGCTTATCGCGAGTTCGTCAATGGCGATCTTGTTGTGGATGATAAGGATGTGTCCATCTGGGGATGAGCTTTCCGAGGCATGATTGAGGTGAGATCTGTAGCAATTACGAGCACACCACTTGAAATTTGGTATTTACAAATCAACCATCCTCTTTCGTACTTTTTTCGAATCCTCGCTCAAATGTAAAACCCATCCCATGTTTTTCATTTTTATAAAATTCTCCATATTTTGATTGCGGCACTTTTAAATTTATCAGTTCAAGAAAATCACCTGGATGTTTTATGTAAATATTATTGTTTCTGATGTTCTGCATGTAATTATCCTACAGGCGTAATTTGATGAGGATGTTAATAGTAGAATTCAAGTTGGTTGGTTAAAGTGGAGGAATGCTTCGGGTCTATATTGTGTGATAGAAAGTATTGCTTAGGCTGAAAGAAAAATTTTATAAGATGGTGGTGAGACCTGCAATGCTCTATGGCGCTGAATGTTGGCCTTTAAAAGAGGAGTACAAAACTAAGTTAAGTGTTGTCGAGATGAGAATGATTAGGTGGATGAGTGGCTTTACACTTAGAAACAAAATGCAAAATGAATATATCCTTGATAGGGTTTGTTTAGCTCCAGTGACAGACAAAGTTAAAGAGAGTCGTATTAGATGGTTTGGTCACATTAAACGTCGACCATCTGATGATCCGATTAAAAGAGTAGATGTTTTAGATTTGATTTATGCTAAGAAAGGCTTGCGCATATAATTCATGAAACGTAGAAAAAAGATTCATGAAGCCGACTCCACTTAGTGTGATATAGGTTTTGTTGTTGTTGTAGTATATGTAAATTTTCCGAGCTTAATGTGATGACTGCTATTTTGAATTATATATTGCAGGTGGGGATGGCAGAAGAAAAGGGAAGGAGATGAGCTGAAGATCTAAGATGGTTTTGTTTGTATCTATTTAAATTTGGGAATTTTTATGTTAATGTACAATTTGCTGAACATAGTGTAATGATGGCTTTTTTGGTATATAGTTCTTGTCATGAATATCATGTTCTTTACTTTCTGCACTGCCATTTTTTCATGTGTGAGTCTTCCTCCTCTTTATGGCTCTCTTAATTGCCATTATTTGACTGTGAAGGTCTTATAGGCAAATATTAAATCATCACTCTCCTTGATCATAGCTAGTGATGTTTTATTAGGAAAAAAATTATTTCAGGATTGATTTATAAACTATTGAATTTATTTTGAGATTAAGTTATATAAATGAAGAAGTGTATTATGTTTATCTCAAAATAAATCTATTAATTTTCAACTTTTTTTGTTATAATTCATATTGGGATATATTTATGTATTTTTTTTTCCTTTGATTTGGTATGTGTTGTTTATGTTGTGCATAATTATTATGCATAATTTTAAAATTAGTTAAAATAATTATCGATTATTTTAAAATTGAGCTCTAGTGGTTATCAATGGGAATTCTTTTAGCCCCAGTTTAAAGAGTAAGAGAATATTTTGACATTTATATAAACTCTGGGACTAAAATGATTTATGTATGTAATCTATGATTATTTTGAAACCTTACTCATTATTAATATATTGTCAAGATTTATTAACTTGTTGATTATTTTATTAACTTGTTGAAAGGCTTCATTGATGCGATATGTTGAATGCCAGTTATTATTATTATTTTTCCTTAGGTTTTAAGTCAGGCAATGCATTAAAATAGTACTAAATGTATATATCATAAAAATTTGAAGTTTAATGATTTTGGTTTTTTTATTATTAGCAAGGCCATTATTATAAATGTTTTAAACTTATGTGTACTTAATATCTGATAGGTCTCTGCCTATAAATAGCTGATCTTATTATTTATTAACTATCATGAATGAAAGATAAAGTTGTAGCACCTTCTTCCTTTCTTTCTTTGGATTCTATCCATGGTATTAGAGCTCATCTTTCACACGTTCAATCTCACTTAAACGTCTAAATTGCTCGTTTCTTGAATCAAACTTTTCTGTTTGTTCTTGATCTTGTCCATGGATTCCGCAAATCCTTCCATCGATACCACCACATTTCAGTCTTCTTCTCCTCCTATGCCTCCTACTTCTTAAATTCCTTATGGAAAATAACAAAAATATGGTTACAACTCAATTAACCACAGATAATTTTCTCATTTGGCATTCTCAGATCTACAAATTGTTCAATGCTAATGGGTTTGAATTATTTCTTGATGGAACCTCGATCCACCCTCCTCTGTTAACTAATGATAACTTGATTAACAATGCCTACCACATTTGGAAACTTATTGATCAAAACCTCGTTACGGCTCTCTATTACACTATCTCTTCATCTATCTTACCTCATGTGTTAAATCTTGATATTACTACTGCTATTTGGAGAACTTTGTCAAAAATACATAAATCCTTTAGTCGATCTCATGTCATACAACTCAAAAATGGGCTTCATAACTTCTCTATGAAAATAAATTCCATGAATCAATATTTGACTGAAATCAAGTCTTTGGTGGATCAAATAGTTGTTGTCGGTTCCCATGTTAATCCTGAAGATATCATCATTTATATCTTGAATGGTCTTCCCACTTCCTACAACTCTTTCAAAACCGCTATTCGCTAACCACTACTACAGTAAAGGAACAAAGAGCATTGTTTTCCAACAAGGGCCGTGGTCGTACCAACTTCCGAAACAAAGGTGACCGCCCAAGATCTACCACTGTTTGTCAAATTTATGGAAAGATAGGGCACTTCGCCTTCTCTTGTTGGCATCGGTCCAACCTAGCGTATGTCCCCCATTCCCAATCTCAACCACAGAGTACTCTCTCCACTGTCTGAAATCTAATCTCTCCATTGATTGGATCCTTAACATGAGAGCTTTGTCACCCATGATACCAAACTACAATAATATTCAACAACCACTATCATATAGGAGAATGAATATGTTGAGGTTAGAAATGGTTGTTAGGTATGACTCATATATCAGGAAATTTAGAGTATCTTGAAATGAAGAGGTGTCTCCTGGATGAAAAAGAGTGTCTCTTGGTGTGAAGAGGTGTGTCTCTTGGATTAGTGGGTTGGGGGGAGCGAGGGCGTGTTTGTAAATTTATCTGTGGGTTTTATCTATAAATAGATGTGTAACCTTATGGGTATGTAACTCTTCTGAAATAGTGAATTCGCCGCTCTGCTCCCGAGGATGTAGACATCTTTGTCGAACCTCGTTAAATCTTTGTGTTCTTCTTCTGGATTTGCGTTATTTCGCCTTAAATTTCACAACAATGGCGAGTCTTCCCATTCAACACAGTGGTCAAGGAATCTTACTGACTCCAAACCGTAAGATTCTTTTTAAGAGACTTTTACACTTTCCTCTTATTTCTCATAACTTGATATCTGTACATAACTTCTTCCGAGACAAGAATTGCTCAATTCAATTCGATCCAACTAGGTATCAAATAAAGGATCTCAAAATGAGCAAGCAACTTCTCACGGGCAGCACCAAACAAGGCCTTTACTTCCAATTCATACATACCACCGCTTATGCTTCTACTTACCAAAGCAGCGGAAATTAACACCATTACTGCACAGAAAAGCATCTCTGACAATGAGCAACTACCTCAAATCGACATTTTCATACAGGAACAACATGTCCAACCTCTCTCATCATCTCCACAGAGATATGTTGAGATAGATTCTGCTGCTGTTCCTGCTTTATCTCAACAAAACACCGCCTCACAGCACCAACTATCGTCTGGAAATGTGTCTCCAACAGAAGGTAGAGCTTCTAATCCTACCTCCATACACCCAATGCAAACTAGGCTTAAAATAGGCACGTGGTAACCCAAACAAATTTTTGATTCGCAGCATCAGCTCACTGAAGTACCCAAACCAACCAGCTTCAGTCAAGCAATCAAGTATTCTCAGTGGAGGGAAGCTATGTGTCAAGAATTCTTTGCACTCCAACAGCAAGGGACTTGAGAATTAATCTCTCCAACTTCCGACTGCAAGGTAATAAGATGCAAGTGGGCCTATAAAATTAAGAGGCATTTCAATGAGACTTTCGATAGATATAAAGCCTGATTGGTAGCTCAAGGGTTCAACCAAGAAAATGGAATTAATTATCTCGAGACATTTAGTCTGGTAGCTAAAATGACTACCATTAGACTTCTTGTGACTAGCACCATTCAAAATAATTGGGATATACTCCAACTTGGTGTTTCAAATGCATTTCTACATGGGACTTTAGAAGAAGTAGTCTATATCTCAACCATAAGGTTTTCAATATCAACAAAATCCACATCATGTCTGTCGCTTACGGAAAGCTATATATGGCCTAAAATAGTCACCCCGCAGTGGTGTTCAACATTTTCGGCATATTTTGTTCAACAAGGTTTTCATTTCAGCAAAGTAGATCCATTTCTTCTAATATATCCAAAGGATGGCGTACTGAATTTCTTATATATGTGAATGATGTTCTAATAATAGGTAATAATCTGAATTTTATTTGAAATTAATTCAGAATCCTTTATAACAGGTTTCAAATTAAGGAGATGGGGAACATAACAACATTTTTAGGCATCAATTTCACAAGATGGAATTGTGCTATCATTTAAATCAAACTTTATACACTTTAAAATTGTTAAATAAAGTTAGAATGCAGATATGTAAAGAGCTACTCAACCCTGTTTCTCCAAGGCTACTAGCAATAGAGACACACAACAACCATTCTCAGATATCACTCTCTATCGACAACTCGCCGGCAAGCTACAGTATCTTACGATCACTAGACTAGACATAGCTTATGCTGTCAATAAGGTGCGTCAACAAATGCACTTACTAACAATTGAAAATTTCCAACAAATCAAACACATTGTCCGATATCTTAAAGGAGCTGCAACTCATGAACTTTGCTTCACCAACAACTCTTCTATAGTTCGATGTTATTCAGACTTGAACTGGGCCGGGGATCCTACTACTAGAAGAACCGTATCAAGTCATTGCACATTCTATGATGAGAATTTGAATTCATGAAAGTCCATGAACAAACAACAATAGCCAAATCTTCAATAGAGGCGGAGTACCATGTGCTCTCTTTGGCAACAACAAATATCATATGAATTCAAAGACTACTAGCTGAATTTCATCTATCTATGGACATTCCTACAATTGACATTCCTACTAATAACCCTATCTTCCATGTCCACACCAAGCACATAAAAATTGATCATTACTTTATTCGAGATCAAATAATAGCAAAAATAACTACAGTTCAACATATAGCCACTCAAGATCAAATTGCTGATATTTTTACAAAAGCTTTATCTACATCTAATTTCAAAAGCTTAGGAACAAACTAAACATCTACCACTAGATGTTAAGTTTAGCAATGTCATTATTGTAAATGTTTTAACCTTATGTATACTTAATATCTTATAGGTCTCTGCCTTTAAATAGCTAATCTTATTATTTGTAACTATTCATGAATGAAAGATAAAGCTGTAGCATCTTCTTCATTCTTTCTTTGGATTCTTTCACTTATCACAATTTCTTATGAAATTGCATTTTAAATGATTAATATGATAGTCATTCGTCTATATTTAGGAAAATATTTTCTTAAAAAATAGTCATTTTTTCTATTTTTTATATTTCATTCATCCTTCAAATTGAGATCATAGGCAAATTTTGATCAATTTAAAATAAATTATTTATAAAGTAAATTTAGCAAATATTTACATTAATTTAATTATTCATCGACTATTTAAAAATAGCAAATGATATATAACTAGGGCTGTCAAAATGGCTCGTTGTTTGCGAATAGCTCGTGTTCGGCTCGTTAATTTCGTTTGATAAGTTAACGAGCCG